TGTCCCGTTTCCCTGTGAGAGAGCTCCGTCAAATCGTGCTCTGACATTCTTACATATTATTCACAATTGTGGTGGAGTAGAAAGAGCCCTGCTTGGGAACCAGAAGCCCTGTGTTTGGTGCTGGCCGGGACTGTTGGGCAAGTCACTACACCAACCCAAGCCTTAGTTCCCCAGTCTGCAAAACGAGGAGATTGCACCAGGAGATCTTCAGGGGTCTCGCAGTCAAACAGTGTGTGGACCGTGAGCCACATGGCCGTGTGACCCGTGCAAGTCACCCGATTCCTCTGCACTTCGGTTTATCTGTGAAATGCAAATAATAGTTGTAACTAGCTCATGGGCTTTTTGTTTTTTTTTACACTTTAGCTATCCTTTTTGCCAAGATGATCATGTGCCTGGCACACTTTTTAATTTATTTTTAAATTGACAGATAAAATTGTATGTATTTACCTTGTATAACATGATGTTTTGAAGTATGTATAATTGTGAAATGTCTAAATCTAGCTAATTAACATCTACTCATTTTTTTTAAAAAATTGAGTTGAAGTTCACATAACATAAAATTAGCCATTTTAAAATATACAGTACATTCATAATATTGATCAATTACCACCTTTATCAAGTTCTGAAACATTTTTATCACCCCAAAAGCAAACTCCATACCTACTAAGTAGTTTCTCCTCGTTGCCTACCCCCACTCAGCCCCAGGCAACTATTAATTTACTTTCTGTCTCTATGAATTTAGCTATTCTGGACATTTCATAGAAATGAAATCAAACAATGTGTGACATTTTGTGTCTGACTTTTTGCACTTAGCATAATATGGTTAAGGTTCATCCACAATATAGTGTATATGAATACTTCATTCCTTTTTGTGGCTGAATAATATTTCACCGTATGGATAAACCACAATTTGTTTATCCATTTATCCACAGATGGACATTTGGGTTGTTTTTACCTTTTGGCTGTTGTGAATAATGCTGCTATGAACATGGGCGTATGTGTATTTGTTTGAGTTCCTGCTTTCAGTTTAGCTCCCAGAGTTTTTGCCAGGACTAGGTACATACTTAACCACTTAGTGGGGGCACAATGGATGCCTTTAATATTTTGAAGGTTTGCAAAGAAGGCCCCACTAGGAATCAGTCTCAGATCTGGGAATCAGAGCTCACTTTCCTCCCACTACTGGTTTTTGGTCCATGTTTCTCTTCATTCCTCACTTGCTGTCATGGGTGGTGTGGAAAAACAAGAGCAAATTGGGTAGAGTGGACAAGGCAGGGGAGAAGTAGGGGGAAATGAGGATGGGAGGTGGGTGGCTGGGGACAGCCAATGAGCAAGTATTGCAAAACAAGGTGAAGGGGCAGGAAAGACAACGGTGGTCCCGGGATGGAGCACGACCCTGGGTAAGTGCAGAGAATGAGGAGAGCATGCTGTTGATGCCAGTTTCTGCTTCTGTAGGGGGAGTGGTGGCATTGAGGGGTGGCTAGGACTACTGCCACTAGCAGAATATGGTCAGGGCGAGAGATGGCTTAGGCGAGGACGAGTAAAGGAGCAGGAGATGGCTGGATGAATGAATTGTGTTCTTGCACGTGAAGACAGGACCTGGCTGTGGTTGAGGGATGTTGTAGGTGTAGAGTTAGGGCTGGGATCTGGGGATGAGCTCTGGGAATTGCCAGCTTGAGGCCAGGTGACAAACTAGTAATAGGCAAATGCCAGTTTTAAGAAAACTAATGCTGCCAGGAGGGCAAACAATTTGGGTTGCAGATGTCCTTGCTGGATGAGAATCAGAACATGCTCTTTGTACGTGCCTGATACGACTGGAGATGGAGGTGTGTAAGAGCGGCGTGTGCCGCCATCTAGAATTCTGGGGGCAGAGGAAGGCTCTGCGTAGCTTTAGACAAAACAATTATTTCTTAATGAGAAGTAAAGTGGCTGGGACCCAGACAGGCAAAGGCTTTCTTCTTGGCCCTGAGTTCAAGAGAACTGAGAGGAATTACTACCCTCTTCACCCATATGGTGGGAATTGGGATGAATGGCAAGAAGGAGGGATCCTGTATGTTGGCTGGTGGGCGGCTGCAGGAAGTGGGCCAAGTTAAGTGTGCATCCCTGGATTATCTATTCCGGCCTAAGCTTTGGCTTTAGATTCCCTTCCCCAAAAGGTAAATGAGTCCTTTGCAAAGGAGACCCTTCAGCTTGCATCCGGGGAGCAACAGCCTTAGCATAAGAGATGCACAAATCTGAGGGTTTCCATCTTTGATGGAACTGATTTCGTCCTAATGGAGCACTCAGAGGAAGTGCCACAATTTGGTCAGGGAGGGAGCCTTTGAACTAAGAGTGGAACCATTCTAACATCATTTTTCTACACCTTAAACACTGTTCTTTGCACATACTTCACACCCTCTCGCTCCTTGGTCTTTTCAATCACAGTTCACATTAAGGTGACGTCTAGAATCCTCCATTTACTGGGTCAGTGGACTCATGAGGATTAGTGTATTTTGGAGATGGGATGGAATTCAAAGACCATCTAACTCAATCTCCCATTTAGCAGAGGAGGAGACAAAAGCCCTGAGACCCACTCAGATGTCACTGGACTAGAGGGTGGGGAGGTGGGGGGTGGGGGATTGAAGAATCAGGACTAGAACCTGAGTCTCCAGGCTCCCAGCCCACTGCTCCACTCACTGTTGTGCAAGTTCTGAGAACTCAAGTTTGTACGTTCCTTGGGGACCACTCAGGAGGCAGTACTTCACTGCATCCACCCTCTCCCCTATTTCTTAATAATTAAGACACAAAAGCCAAACTGTAGAAAAAAGAGATCTTGTATGTATTTGTCATGAGAGAGATAATGTCTTTCTATCATTTTTTTTATGTTCTGAGAACCTTATCCGTTGTCCGAGGAGATGATACTAATTACTGGTAAAAATCATTAAGGCCCAAATGTTGAGAATCTCAATCAAGACAGAAGCAACACAAATCAAAGTTTAGACCGAAGAGGAAAATAGTAAATGTGGAGTCAAGAAAATATGGAAAATTCTAAATAAAAGAATATGGTGTATAAAATTCGTTCAAAAAAGAGACTGTAGAGAAATTGGGCGACGTTTTTATGGAGGGAAGAGGGCTTCAGAAAGATCAAAGCCATTGAGAAATGGTGGTATATTTGAGACTACTATCCAGGCTGGGGAAACCAGATGTCCTCAGGACTAGGTAAATAAGTAATAAATATGCCGGGCACACAGTTGGCATAGTTAAAAATTGGAAATTCTGGGAGGTTTGAGGCTGTTCCTGGGAGGTTTGATAATAGAATGGGCTGTAAATTTCCTTCTCAGTGAGGCTGCTGTCGCCCGTTCAGCCAAAGGCAGGTGGTGAGGCCTGAGCTCTGCTAATGTGCTGTGAATTCCCCCTCAGATGGCGGGGACAGCACGCCACGACCGAGAGATGGCACTTCAGGCCAAGAAAAAGCTCACCACGGCCACCGACCCCATCGAAAGACTCCGACTGCAGTGCCTGGCCAGGGGCTCTGCAGGTATCAAAGGACTCGGCAGGTAGGGTGGGCCATGGGGTGGCAGGGATGGGGCATGGCCAGGCGGGGCTGACGTTGGCTGTGTGGTCTTGGGCAAGTCATTTCCTCATAGGGGCTCAGTTCTTCATTTGCAAAATGCAGAGTCTGGAAGAGTTGATCTCTGAGGTCCCTTGTAATAGTTTTTGGTTCTTAGTCTAGATTCAGCAAGACCCATGTCTGCTACAGGAGATTGCAGCTGCTGGGACAACATGGCTAAAGGAGAGGCATGCCCAGTAGCAGAGAAGCCCAGCAGGACAATGAGAGAGAAGCTCCCCGAAGCTGTGATAATAGAGGCATGTTGGAAGAGGGAGGAAGGAATGGCGATTTAGTGATTGCAGAATTTGGAGTTTTGCTCTCATCACTGACCTCTGGGGGTACTGGAATTGCTTGTCAGATAACTGACAGCTCACTGCAGTGGGGATCCCCCAGCTGGGTAGGTCCTGTTTGTGACCCTCTGACAGTGTGAAGTCCCAAGGACAGAGAAGCTCAAGGGGAAAGGAGATTGTGAGCCTCCTGTGGGCAGGCCTTGTGCATTGTAACAATCCACATTGAGCGCTTGCCCTGGGCCACGACTTGTACACATCACAAGGGTTTCATGGGTGAACAAGGCTTCTTCAGAGCCTATGAGGACTCAGACTAAGGAGATTAAGAGTGAAATAAATGGCCTCTTGCTGTGAGCTATGTTAGAGAAGTACAGGATGCCAACGAGAGGGGAGTCCGACCTTGCGCCCAGAGGTTTGGAAGGCTTCACTTCCGGTGAGGTACTGAGCATCTGGGATACCATTTGGAGCAGTCTCAAGTCTCTGACTAAGCCCAGCTCTCTGTGAGAAGCCCAGGCTGTTTGTATGTGGACCCTGGTGGCCAGGCGGTCACAGTACAACGGCAAGACCAGCCCACTTCGCCTCAGTATTGTGTCACTTCATCCTCGATCTCTTTCGTCCTGGGTCCACATCATTGTCCTTGGTGCAAACCTTGGAGAAACCCTGCCCTCTTCCACTCCTTGGTCCACTCAATTCGATCCCTCCTGCTGCCTATACCATCCCCACCCCACACCCGCTGCAGCCTGCACCTGCGCCAGCCCTTTCACTGTGAGCCAGTCTACTGTGAACAGACACCATCTCATCCCCAGCCTTTGGCCTGAATGTGCCCTCTGCCCACCTTACTGGCCTCATCCTTCCCCAAGTCTCTCTTCAACTGTAAGGGAGGCTGTTCCTTCTCCTCTACCCCTGCCTTGGGATCAACTGAGGGCTAAACACTCTTTTTCAGTGTAAGCCCTGATCCCAGGTAATATCTCCCACCACCACTTTGTTCATTTATCCCTTCCCCATAAATCCTGTCTTTGAAAGACATCTCTCCAGGTTTGACTCTACCACCTGCTCACCTCCGGGACACTTGACATTCTGTGCAGTGTTGGCTCCTGGAACCATCTCTCCACCTTGACTTGAATCATTATCCTGGCCAAGATCAGGACGACTTTATCATTACCTTGATATCTTCATTTTTAACACCAAATTCTGGTGGTTTTCAACAGTATATGTTCTTTCTCAGTCATTTCCAATTACTTTGTAAATATAGATATTTTTCAATATTCTATTGTCATTATCTTTAATTCACCATACCTCTTGCCCACTCCTGAATTAGGTCATGTTTACCCTGGCCTGTGGCCACATTCTTGGCACTGAATCCTCTCCTGAGCTCCAAACTTATTTCACAATTTATTATTTTATTTTATCAGGAACTAACCAAATACCCAGTGAATATCTCTACGTAGTTGCCTTACTATTCAAAACAAAAGTCAGCATCCCTTCTTGCAAACAGAGCTTCCCCTGCAGTCCCTATTCTTTTAAAGGTGTCTCCGCTCTTCCAGTTCCTTGGATGGAAAACTTTAGAATTATCTTCATTAATCCACCACATTGACTCCTCTTCTTCTACAATATCTTGCAATCTCTTTTCTTATTTTCATCTCAATTGCTCAAGTGCAGACACTCAACATCTTTCCCCCAGACTCTTACTATAGTATAATATTCTTACTGGTTCCTTTGCTTCCGAGCTTTCAGTCCTCAAGCCACTCAACCCACTATTGCTGAAGTTCGCTTAAATGGTTGTTTCGATAATGTTACTTCTCATGAAAGTCATGAAATGACTTTTGGAAAAAATTTTATAATAAATCTCAAACTCTTTAGCATTTAAGAACATTTAATATTCTTCTGATTCTGCCATTAACCCAACTGTCTATCTGAATTTCATTATTTCTTTCTTCGGAGCTGTCCTTCAGCTTTCTCAAATGACCCAATACCCTAGAAACCGCTGTTGGTCTGAAAGGAGTCCTGTCTCCCTTCAGTCAAAGCCACTGGTCATTTTTCTTAGTTTTTCTCTCTCTCTCTGTCTCTCTCCCTCTCAATAAATTTCTTGAGGACAGAGACTGAGTGTCACTCAACTTTGTATTCTTCCTCACAGGGCTTAATGCAATGCGTGGCACATTATAAATGCCTAACCAATGAATTTTCTTGAATAATACGTGGTAGTTTCATGATACATCATTTATTTCAAATTTATATATGTTTTACAAGGAAACTGGTAAGTTCACTTTCTGTTTCACTGCTGTTTGTTCATTAGTTAATTTGTTCATTCATTCATCTAGTCAACGAATATTGACAGAGTGACCACTGAATGGCAAACATACAGCAGTAAACAAAACTGTCAGGGCCTCTGCTCTTATAGAGCTGGTATTCTAGTCTACGTGATCCCCTTATTCAAAGTGTTCTTTCTTGTTTTTTAAATGAGAAATGTGAACTACAAAGGAATAGGAATTTGTCATTTTTACATATAAATAACATAGAGAAAAGTACAAATTGCCACTTGACAATTATACATTATTTTAGCATTAATAAGGAACTTAAAATCAACCATTTGAGTCCTTTACAGAAAACTGAGACTCAGGCTGGGCACAGTGGCTCAGGTCTATAATCCTAGCACTTAGGGAGGCCAAGGTGGGAGGATCACTTGAGGCCAGGAGTTCAAGATCAGCCTGGGCAACAGTAAGAACCCCATCTCTACAGAAAATCAAAATAAAAAAAATTAGCCAGCCTTGGTGGCACAAGCCTAGAGTCCCAGCTAGTTGGGAGGATGAGGTGGGAGGATCACTTGAGCCCAGGAGTTTGAGGTTGCAGTGAGCTATGATCATGCCATTGTACTCTAGCCCAGGCAACAGAGAGAGACCCTGTCTCAGAAAAAAAAAATAAAAACTGAGACTCAGAGGTTATAAAATGTGCCAAAAGTCACAGAGGTAGTTTTAATGGTAGAACTGGAAATCAAGAACAGGTTTTCCAAATCCCAGTTAAGAATTCTTTCTATGTGGTAGACTCTGAGCAAAATATAAAATTCTCGAGGATGTGCTGTGGGTAGCGGTGAATGGTGGAGGAAGAGGGAATATGTAGCAAAGAGTGAGGTCACAACGGTGTGTGATGAGATTGATAGAAGGACCTCAAGCATTATAATTGAACGCAATTAAAAGATATCAGTGTTCCTATCTCTCCTCATCCACACCAACATTTATTGGGGCTAAGGCCATATATGTAACCTAAATATTTGTACCCCCATAATATGCTGAAATAAAAAAAATAAAAAATTACAAAATGAATAAATAAATAAATAAAATACTGGGAAAAAAAGAAGATATATCAGTTCTTCCATAGAAAAAGATATGGACCCCACATATTTGGAGGTGATCAGACATAGCTGGAAATAATGAGGCATGTTTCCAAGTGGAGGCTACTTGCAGAAAGCACAGTGTCTATACGTTTTGGCAGTCAGTGGATGTATGTTTAAAAAATGAGAAGCCATCTTTACATTTTATGCTAAGTGTAGACGCTATCCAGAAAAACAGGTACAATAGGGTTTTCAAATTATTTACCTACATTTTCTGTTTTCCTTTAATTGGGATATAGGAAGACTCTGGGTCCTTTGGGTCTATTAACAAAGATGGGAGCTTGAAAAATGTTCCATGTTTTTATTTTTTAAATAGACTACTTTTTAGAACAGCTTCAGATTTATAGTAAAATTATGAAGATACTACAGAGGGTTCCCACATAACACCCTCACCCAGTTTCTTATTATTAACATTCTACATTAGTGTGGTGCATTTGCTACAAGTAGTGAACCAATATTGATAAATTATTATTGAGTAAGGACCACAATCTGTTCATATTCCCTTAGTTTTGCCTAGTGTCTTTTTGTGCTTCAGGATCCCATCTGGGATACTGCGTTGCATGTACTTGTCATGTTTCTGTAGGCTCCTCTGGGTTATGATAGTTTCTCCAACTTTCCTTGTTTCTGATGATCTTGACAGGTCAAGTATTTTGTAGGATGCCCTTCTATTGGAACTTGTCTGAATATTTTTTCATGATTAGACTAGAGTTATTGGTTTTGGGGGCCACAGAGGTCAAGTGCCATTTTGATCACCTCATAACAAGGATGAGTGTGATCAGTATGATTTATCCCTGTTGATGTTAACCATGATCACCTGATTGAGGTAGTGTTTGTCAGGCTTCTCCAACGTAATTACTCCCCCCACCCTTTCCGTACTGTGCTTTCGGAAGGAAGCATCTATGCAGAGCCCACGCTTAGGGAGTGGGGGGTATGCTTCCCCTCCTGGAGGGCAGAGTATGTACATAACTTATCTGGAATTTTCCTGTAAGGAAAATGTGTCTTTTCTCCTCCATTTATTTATTTATTCCATTACTTATTTAAACCAATATGGACTCGTGGATATTTGTTTTCTATTTTGGGTTATAATCCAACATTGTTATATTGATCAAAGTGTTCCAGCTTTGGTCTTGGGAGCTCTTTCAGTTGGCTCCTATGTCCCTTTAACATATCTCCACCAATAAACTTGTTGAATTTTTAGTATTTTCTTAGTTTCTGATATGACAAGATCCCCCAAGCTTATTTTGTATATTCTATTCCCTAATCCTAGAATCAGCCATTTCTCCAAGGAGCCCTGTTCTTTTCATAGGAGAATGGATTTAGAAACCAAGATTTAGGCCCTAGATGTGCTTATTGTTACTGTGGTGTTGTTATTTCTAGGTCTTCTCAGCTGACAGAACAAGGAAATAAATGTGTGTATACTAACCTGTGTATATACACATATCTATAAATATTTTTATATTTAACCATCTATGTCCATATTAAGCTACACATGAGTTCCTACTGCTGTCTCCAACTCAATCCATTATCGCATGGATCATTCGAGCCTCCTCCCCTAGCTTATCTGTAAGTTCCCATTCAGCTGTGAGCACCTGGCTGCCATTCTTTGTCATCCCTTGGGTGACTGTCTGATTCCAGTGTACATGTACAGCAATATCAGAATATCAGCTCAAGTACAGCGATTGTGTGCAGTTCCTTTAGTCTTATAGACTCCGCTTATTTCCAAAGTTATTTAAATCAGCACTTTTCTCTCCCACCCCTTTCAGGGAGGTGGTTCATACTTTTGTAATACAGTGAGATTCTTTTGTCATAATTTGCATTCCTTCCTGGGGGCCCCTGACTTCCTGAATGTTTTTTTAAAAGTCCATCCACATTAAGGTTTCCTCTTTGTGCTGTAAAGTTCTATGGGTTTTAGGAGATGCATACTGCTGGGTATCCACCTTCAAAGTATTATACAGCACGGTTTCATTGCCCTACAAATCCCCTGGCCTTTGCCAGTTCAACTCTCTCCTCTCTGCCTCATCTTCTTACTGTCTCTTCAGTTTAGTTTTGCCTTTTTCAGAATGTCATATAATTAGACTCATACTGTGTGTGTGTGTGTGTGTGTGCGTGTGTGCGTTTGTGTTTAAAGGTTTAATTTCCTTTATGATGGGCTGGGAAGAGGCTCTCCAATTTTGAAAGGGATGGTGCAGAGAAGAATCTAAAACTTTTGTATATTACTTTGAAAAACATTTTTTCTTTTATTTCAGCATATTATGGGGGTACAGATGTTTAGGTTATGTATGTTGCCCTTGGTCCCCCCCGCAAGTCCGAGTTTCAAATATGTCCATCCTTCGGGTGGTGCGCATTGCACTCCTTGTGTATACAAATACCCGTCCATTGAGAATAGTTTTCTTTTTAAGTCTTTACACTTACACCTTCTTCTTTGTGAGTTTTTTCTTGTTTTTTTGTGGGTATTTTCTTCAGAGTCTTTCGAATTATGGATGACAATAACAACCGAACCCTTGATTTCAAAGAATTTGTGAAAGGGTTAAATGACTATGCTGTGGTCATGGAAAAGGAAGAGGCAGAAGAGCTTTTTCAGAGGTTTGATAGAGATGGAAATGGAACAATAGACTTCAATGAATTTCTTCTCACATTAAGAGTAAGTGGCCTCGTGAATCAGTGTATTTGTTAAGTTTGGCTTTCACGTGGTTTGGGTTGGCTATTTTGAGGTTTTGTTTTTAGAAGTTGTTAGTACACTGTTGAGGGGATGGGCGGAAGACTGTGAACAGGTTTAGGAGTTTTTTAAAGCAACCATAATGCACATTATTTAATGGCACATAAACAGTTTCTCATCATTGAGGGGAATAAGATATTTCATCACATATTGTACAAAAAAAGGCTCATTTGACCGTGTATGTCTCTGTGTGCCTTTTCTATTTATGTAGCCTCCAATGTCCAGAGCCAGAAAAGAGGTAATTATGCAAGCTTTTAGAAAATTAGACAGGACTGGAGATGGCGTCATAACAATTGAAGACCTTCGTGAGGTATATAATGTAAAACACCATCCAAAATACCAAAATGGGGAGTGGACTGAAGAGCAAGTATTCAGGAAATTTCTGGATAACTTTGATTCACCCTATGACAAAGATGGATTGGTAAGTAAAAGAGCTTAACCTAAGGGAAATTTCTTCTATTCAGGTTGAAACTGTAAATGGAAAATAGGTCCCAAACCTTAAACATCTCAACACATTGATAGCATATTTGTTATAAATAGAAGTAAAATATTTCCTTAGGAATCATCTAGAAAATTGAAAAGTAAAGTAATAAAATATGTGTGTGTGTGCGCACACATAGACACGTATATTGGTACATATTGGTAGGGGATCCACATACAGCTAACTACCTGGCACCTGGAGGATGTGGTGTTTTGGTTCAACACTCCATTTCATGGTTACCATATTCACCACACTCAGCTAGTCGCATTCCAATGAACTAGGCTATAATAAAGCATATTTACCTTCAAAATGAGATATAATTCAATTTTTGGGAACAGATTTACAAGGCCTTTCAGGATGCTTTAGGGCCTCTGCATTCACTCTTACGAGCATCATTTGTCATCATACTTTGCTCTGTGGAAACGCCATTTAAAATTAGCTTTTGGTAAAGGGAACACCAGATTACAGAAGTTACTCTGATTTATTCCTTAGTATACTTTGAGGATAATTTACATTTCTAAAGTGAGCTTGAAACAAAAGCAACCACCTTATCTCCATTAACTTTTTTCTTCACGTTACAAATGCACAGCTTGGTAGGGTACGGAATTATATTTCCATGACTGTGTCTAGGCTGAGATGAAATTGCCATCTGTCTTTTATCAACAGCCATAAATGGACTTTTTTTTTCTAAGACAGGGCCATTTCTGCTCTTAGGTGACCTGAGAGTTTTGTGATGAGGGAAGGGCATTGTCTCCTTGGCAACAGTCAGCATCAGCAGAATGCTAGGGTTTGTTATCTCCCAGCCCCTTTGTCACACAGGAAGAGATTAGTGGAATGGTGGATGGGAATAAGAGGGTGGTTATGGGAAGAGAAAACAAATTTTTCCTTTTGGAAGGGAATTTCCCCCAACTTTTTTCATGAAACTTTATGATGCACCCCATGAGAAGGGGTGGGAGACAGGAAGGGAGCCTCTCTTTCCTTCCTGCTGACATCCTCCAGTCAGGGATGGAGAAATACTCTCTATTTGGGGCTAAGGGATTGTGTAGGTAGATTAAAAAAAAGGGGGCCTAAATTCTGTAGGACAGCCAAATGCTTAGGGACAGAAATAACAGAACTGCATGTTTTCTTTCGGTATTGCTGGCCTTTGATCTCTGAGATGTCAGTGGAAAAATAGCCAACTGCCATTTCCCCAAATTAGCCCAACTCTGCATGGATCCCAGAGTGTCTTTGCTTTTTTTCTGCAGGTGGTTCCTCCTCGTTACCAGGGGAAACCTCAGCAGCCCTTTCTCTAACCCAAGTCACAGTAGCCAGTGGTTGTGATCCAGCTGATTTAAAGTCCCACCCCACCCCTTTTGACATTTATCTTAATAAGTCACATTAAGCTCTCAAATACTCATAAAGATTATTGAGATTTTTAGCAGCTAAAACATTTGACGTCGCCTGACTATCACAGACCTTCGCTGGCTGTCAGGACCATCGCCAGGGAGTATGTGTTCATAACGCAGATTGCTAGTTGCACTGAGATCTGCAGAGTCCGAGTTTTTTTGGGTGGAGCCCAAGGCTTTACAATTTTAATAGGTGTGCCAGATGACTCTTATATACATTCATATTTGAGGTCCTTAGCTCTAAAAGATTCAGAAGTGCCTCTTCTTGATTGCTAAATATAATATACACATGAACCTCATTTAGCATAATAATGAACCTGGGCAACATTTGCTGAGCACATACCAACTGGGCACTGTGCTAAGGGCTTACCAAGGTTATCTCATTTAATAGAAATAATAAAAATGTTTCTGAAAAGTTACATGGGATTCACACTTTTGTACATCGAGTCATATTTTAAATGTAAAAAGAATTGTTGATATAGAGGAACTCCATGGTAAATTCTTTTATAAAGGGGATAATTGGCCCCTAATTTGCCTTTTGCAAATTGAGTTGTATATTAAGATTTCTTATGGTGAAACATAGTTACACTTGTAAGCCAGTGTGCTCATTTATGGTTAAAAAAAATATCCAAACAAGACAGAACTTAGAATAATGCGAAATATTAGCATAGTCCCTAGCCAAGGATGATGTTCAAATCTATGAACTTTTAATAATCTAGGCTAAGCTCTCAACTACTTGTAAAGGGTACTAGGGTTTGCAGCAGTCATAAAATTTGATGTCATAAATCCTGTACTCTTGTCCCACTTGGCTCCCATAGCAGCCTGTGCCTCAGAAGCTGTTTGGATGGAGGTATGAAAGCAACCAAATAAGGTGTGAAACAGGCCTTCCTCATCCTTACTCTACCCCTAAACACAACTATTTATTTTTTAAATATTTTTTAAATATCTATGTTTTGAACTTTTCATGTGTGTATATTACTTTATAGTCACATTTCTAAACATCTTTTAGAACTTTAGCATTTCAAGATGTATGAGTCTTACCGCCTCATCCATCTCATATAAAATTTTTAAGTAAATAAAAATATTTTAGGTATTTTACTGAGTATATCTAGTAACCTAACCTTGTTTTAGGATTTTTCTAATGAGTCTGGAGCTGAGAAAAAGAGACTGTATTGTGACTTAGACATTTCCATTGACCCCATCTGGGACCTTCCCCTGCACATAATATGTACCTTGTCAAATAAATAAGGGCAGCTTCTTCAAGAGGCCTGCTGAAAGTAGGAGTGTCCATTCTCTCATCTTTTATAATGTCAAATAAAACAAGTAATGATAGTAATTATTGAGGAACAGCAATTTGCTATGATCAAGGCAAACATACAGAAGATCAGAGATGTTGTGATTCAGGCCATTCCCAGTATAAACTGAGTCTCAGGAAACAAGCAGACACCTAGCTAAGAATATCTGATGGCTTTTTCAGAATTGATCAAATACATTTGCTCTAACTTCTGGTTTGATGTAGTCTGACTTCCAGATGAGGTTTGATGCTCCCCTTATCTTTTGCCAGTCTTGGATTCCTTATTCATTCTCCATTCAGAGCCAACTCAACTCCAGGCCACCCCATCCCATTGGGGGAGTTTGGGATTGAGAGATGGGGTGACAATATTCTTCTCAATCATATCTCAGTGTATCAGTTAGGGTTTGCATTCAATTGAAAGTAGTAATAGAAAATCTTATTACATGGTGGAATAAACACATTAGGTTTTATTTTTTATTCTACATAATGTCCTAGGTTGAGTGGCTAAAGGATAGCAGAATTGAGGTCTCTGTGATTCTCTTGGCCTCTCCTTCCTAATCTTAAGATGCCTGTGTAACTTTACTCAGCACATCTGAGTTTTAGGCAGCAGGACAAAGGGAGGGAGAAGGAAAGGATGAAAAAGAAGCAGAGCCTGTGTCAGGAAAGCAAAGGCTTTCTTAGAAATTCCTGTCAGATTTCTCGTTCTATCTTATTGGTGAAGATTGTATCACTTGGCCGTCTCTTGCTGTAGCGGGAAGGGAGTCTGGCAAAGTAAATTTTTAGTTTTTCTTCTTCTTTTTTTCTTAACCCTCAATCCATATCTGAAGTTTTTCAACTTCTGTAGTAGAAAAAGCCAGGTACACGAATATTTCAAAGGATGTCGAGTATGTCTCTTTCAATGTCTGCTACTCTTGGTCAATAAACAATAAAAGCAACACAAAAAATACAAGAAGTTTGATAATTTTTAAATTTTAGCTATAGAAAATGTTCCTAAAATTGAATTGTCAAGTTAAAGTACACAGTCGAAATGGCTCATGGCACTGTGCATAACTCTATCACTTTATTTGATATTTACTTTTGAAATTATCCATTACTTGTTTGACTCCTTCACCAGCCCTGTGAGCTCTTTGAGGACTAAACCTATCTTGATTATCTCTGATAGTCTCAAATATTGGTGAGCACAATAATTAACTGGGATGCTTGGATTCAAAAAAAGTAAATTCCACCGTCACTTGCTTCATAGATTCCGACTCAGTAGGTGTGGGGCAGGGGCTGGGATTCTGCATTTATGACAACATCTCAGATGATTCTGACACACCTATTATGGACTATGCTGAGAAACATTGCCCTGGGACTTCACACAGCACCAGAAATATAGAAGGAGGGCAATAATTATATGTAGAACTTCACGACTTACTGGGGGAATTAGAAAACAGAGGTCAGAGGCTGAGGAATCCAAAGGAAGAGAGGAATAAATAAATTCAAGAAAGGAGGACATTAACAGTATTCCAATTTTAACAAAGGCTCTATGCATGTATTATTTATTTGTATTTACTGACCACTGATAAGTACAGTTCCACTATTAGCTCAGTCCAAATGCCTTTCTTTCTACTACTGCCTTTCATTGTTTTTTATGGGGGAGGAGGTACAAGAAAGAGAACTGTGGATCCTGTGATACTTTTTCCTGTTCACTTATAATTTCAGCAAAAAAGATAAGTGGGTCAGTCAGCTCATACGATTCTTGAAAGGCGTAAGTATGTTCCCAAAGACTTGTTGGGAGAAGAGTTTGCTGTTATGGACTAGAAAGAAGCTTTGAATGATTTGTGGATTTCCCTTCTTGTGATGTTCTTAATCCCTCATGAGCCCTGAAAATTGAGGGCTAAATGGAGAACAATGAATCTCCCAAACAGCCCTCATCATCGTGTCTGTGTCCTTCCATATGAGGCCATCCATACTTTGGACTACATTGACTGGCCCAGAAATCAGTTAAACAGGAGGGCAATTCTTTCCCCATATCAACTAATCATGACAGCCAGTGTAGTAAAATTGGAATGTACATATCATCTGTACCTATTACAAAAGATGACTAATAACTGTTTTTCTTCTCTCCAAAAGGAAAGCAATGTAAAATACTAGCATAGATAAACACATCAGTTGAAATTCCAGAGAGACAGTCATAAAGTGGAGAGAGAACATGAGGTGGGAGGAGGCGTGGAGCTGGGGGTAACCTTTTTACTCACTCTGGGCCTTTAATGAGTAATTTGTGTCTTAGAAAAGCGTGCAACCAGGAGTGCTTAACTGGAAATCTGTTTCTTTACCCGCAGGACAGAACCCCATTTTTTGAAAGGAAAAACATTGCTAATCTTGACAGAAGGACATGACATGCTGTTTCTGGTGTGTCCCAGGCAGATAGAATTAACTACAGTTGAGGAACACTTGCTTCTTTCTCTGAGTTTCTATCTCCTTTATCAGAACGGACGGGCTCCTGCTCCTAAGGAATAGATGACAGCCTGTGTCTCACTTTCCATTTAGGCTTGGAAATTTGCAAGACTTTCTTCCTCTCTTTCCCTGCACCACCCTCACTGCCATCCTCAGCTTTACTTTTTCTCTTGTTTTAGATCTGTTCCTTAGCTGTGATCACCAAAAAAAGCCTCTCTCGATCGAGATTCCCCTTCTGTTAACATTTACAGGTACGGAAGGTGGGCCACTGTTGGAGGGATGAGAAGCAAAGTATCGTTTTTGTTTCTGACTTTTTCTCTGCAGGTGACCCCCGAGGAGTTTATGAACTACTATGCGGGCGTCAGCGCATCCATTGACACCGACGTGTACTTCATCATCATGATGAGAACCGCCTGGAAGCTCTAACTGTGTGACCCGGGGACTGGGTCTTGGGGACAGCCATGAGGCTCCAGTTGATTAAACCTCAGCTCAAAAACCAGGATTATATTTGATTTCGCGTTCATCTCAGTGTTTCTTTCATATCAACACACTGTATTTTCTAAGGCTAAAAAACAGGCAGAAATAAAGGCACGAAGTAGTCAACTGTGAGCTTGCGTTCTCTGAGGCTTTTTTTTTTGCTCTAAAATGGAGTTAAATAAAATGAGATCTGCAAAGCTCCTAGTGCTACGGTTGATACACACAGGTGTCTAATCATTGTTAGGTTTTTTTCCTTGACCATTAACGAAAGTTTGAATATTTTAGTTATAACATCCATTTATGCACCCGGAGTCTGTCTTCGCCTCTTTTTAGATGGTCCATTTGTAGGTGAGAGAATTCATCTATCTTTATGACTTACTATAAATCTTTAAATGTTTCAGTCCTAATTTGCGGACCAGAAGGAGACCATGTGTTAGCCTCAAGTTCTAACTGAATTATATTGAATTGTGAGTTCCACTGCTCAAGGTTTAGGGAAGCCTCACTTTGGCAAATAGGTTTAAAATGGCATTTTTGGTGGTCATTTTAAAGACTAGTGTGAGTGGAGGCTGTTTGAGCAGTTGATCCATGACTGTTCAAAGTATTCCTGTGCCTAAAGTTTTGAGGCTGGGCTGTGCTCTCGGATTTCACGTGGGACATCTGGCCCTGTGAGTAGACCATACCAGCAAGCCCTCACCTGGTGGAATGTTTCTCTCTCCCCTTCCTGCTTTCAGCCAATCATATTGAAGTTCCCACCAGCACAAAGAGGTTGGGTGTGACATGGACTAGGATCATAGGCTTTTCCAAAGCAGATTTTCCATCTTGACATTTCTTGGTTTCAAGCCTCTACCTCCCAGCACTAAACTCCAGCTTCTTATTGTGTGGGAATCTTCCCATGAAAGGCTACTAGAAGTGAAGGCAGCCCCAGATGCTGGAAAGTAGGTAGTGAAACTATAGCTCTCCTTCTATGTATCTGGGGCCGGAGATAAACACAGTGACTAGCTTCTGGTTATGGTGCTGGAGGCAATGCCCACCCTGCCTTTTTGCTCAGGGAAGTCCCTTTTTGCCTCCTCTGTTCCTGGCTGTATTCATTCCCCCAGTTTGGGACATGGATTAGGTTAATGGGTCTCCTTTAAGATCTTATGTGTTTAAGTGGATCGGGACTCAGGGTCCAAACACACTTTCCCATGTTTTATACCAATTCACTTGTTTTGTTTTATTTTATAGACTTGGAAGTTGAGATCAGGATGTGTATTGATTGAAAAATTATGAAAACGGGTGCTGCCAGACAAGAATTATAGCAGTCATTACATAAGGCACTGTGCTTTGTTTCTTGTTGAGAAGCTCAATTCTTGTTTGTTCCGGTGACAGACTGGACAAGGCACATTTTTCCTGAGATGGATGCAACCCTATATCAAAAACCTAGTAAGCTAGTTTTTTTAAAATTAGTTCTACAAATCTGTTTTTTTTTTTAATTGGATTTATTATCTAGGCTTATATAGAGGTTGGTGGGCCAAAGATATTAAGTATTATGGAGAAATATATAGAAATTATGTGGAAAGCCAGAAGAAATTATGAAGAAATGCATTAAAAAATCCATGTTTTTTGCAGCCTATGCCTCATAGATTGTGGCCGAGGAGAGGTTCCCTGCTTCCTGGGCATAGTGGGTTTCAAGCCTCTTGCTCTAGATAGATTCATGTCTTTGATTCTGGGTATGACTCATGCCTCTGCTTAACTGGGGCCATAGAGTGAGCATGTGCTTCTGAGCAAGGGCTAGGTTGCAACTATCAGCTTGTCTTCCCCAGTGGCACTTTGCTTCCTGTCTAACGGGGGCACAGGGCACAGCTATCCGATTTTAGATAACCCGTGCCCCACAGTGTATTTGGTTACATTCAGTTGCCTCCCTTCTAGCATTATGGAACCACCAGCAAGATTCCACTAAGGCCCTTTCACTCTCTGAAAGCAAAACCTTTTAATAACCTCATGGTCAAAGATCACTCCACTCCCATTCTCAGTCCCATCTGTGATTTCTGGCATAGCCAGGAATCGCTCATTATTTAGCTCTAAAAACAGCGGGAGGAACAGAGATGAGTCATTTAAAAAAAAACATTTGCTAACACTTTTCTGGGTGTACTTTCTGTTTATTTAACTTAGAGATTTTAAACCTTACTCTGTTTACAATTTTAAAAGTAAGCACTTAGTTCAGATGATAAAACAATAAAAAGTCTTCAAAACATCCCTCGGGAGCATCTCACCTGTTGGGTAAGGACTCCAAATAGGAAATTAAACAAACAAGTAAGCCAAAGAAAAGAGGATAAGATTGCCAGCTTTTTAATGAAACAGGAATGATGTATGTAAACATTCTGCAAATCAGGATTTGTCAGAACAAGCTACCTGTGCAATACTGAGTCATGGATGCTAACTCCCCCAGAGGCAAACCTATGTGATAATGACCAGAGCTCCTGCCTCAGCAGCTGCCAAGAGTTGGTGCACATCTTGTGAATCACCTGAATTCATTCACGGTGCAAATGAGAAACCCAAGATGTGCGTGCTGAGTGGTAGACTTACAGAGTTCTTCCCACCAGTCTGTGGGGCTGGTTTCACAGTCATCTAAACCTTGATAGGATCTTCCCAGGCCCAGATGGCACCGCGGAGGACCATGCATTAATTCTGTGTGATTGGGCAGCAGGCATGGAGTCACATGTCACACCCTCCTAATGGCTTTTTAAGGTAGAGCTGTGTGTTCTCCATGTTGGCTGCAGATTGACTTGGCACTCCTCAGAGTCTGAGGTGGAAATACATCCCATCAATAAATATTTACTGAGCTGTGTGCTCTATCTTTGGGGTTAGAGCCGAGAATTAGAATAAATGCAAATATAATAAAACCACCGGCTTTCCAACTAAACTAACAAGCCAAAGTTGCTAAGAGACCAAAGTGGGCAGACAGAAGGAGGGAAACATGCCCCTTCCTGAATCTCATCCAGCCTCTGAAGCCAGGAGAGTTGGGGCCCTTCATCTGGCACTGTGTTGGGGAACCATGTAGTAAATTTGATGAACATCGACAGTCTATCAAGGCAATGCAAGGAAAAATCTCCTCTGTGTTTGAAGGCAGATAATTGTCTTGGTCCATCAATTCTCTTGGCCAATGTAGATTGTCTCACTAACCCATGAGAATACAAGCAGGCAATCAGTCCACCCTCACTAAGCTACCTGCAGATGCAGTCTGTTATGCTGGAGTTTAATCAAGCAGAGAGATTAAAAGAACCAAATCATTCTTGCATGGTGCGTGGGGGCCCTACTACTCCTGCTCCGTGAAATTCTGTTACCCTCTGAATAGTATACCTTGTTGGATTTATGTATATCTATTTTGAGTACAGAATAAAGACCCTTGCAACTTCCACTTTTCCAAAGTGGTCAACAAACTTGCTTCCCTGGAAATGATTGGCTGTTGTTTTAAGTTAAGATCTTATTGAATGAAGCAGCAACGTTTTAAACCTTAGAAATACTTATGACTCAAAGGAAAAACAAAAATGTGAAAGATCTGATAGACTGTCATAAAACCGGAGTGATTTTCATCTAATTGATCCTTCTGAAAGCCAATGTTTCTCCTCCAAGGCACTTGTATGAAAACTATATAACTGTGATAGAGATAGCTGGTTCTTTTATTCTAAAAACATAAAGCCCACTTATTGAATCCCTAAAATTATTTGTTCTAAAACAGATGGCAGGTAAAATCTGTTGAAAGAAACATAAACAAATGATTGATGGGGGTTCTTAGAACACCACTGTGTGAGAATAATTCTTTTTGCTGTCTCAGTCGGTGTGGTGAGAGGCTGTGGTGAAACAGCTCTTCCTCTCTGAGAATAGCAGGACCTTCTTGTTCAATTCTCACACCTGCTTCGCCAAAGCCAGTTTTTTCCCTCAGTAAAATATAGTGGAAGATCCTCTTCAAGAGTGGAACCCACCGAAAATATGAACAACCAACCACTAGCTGAGGTTTTGATACGGATCTTGTAGCTAGAAAGGTATAGTGCATCAGGGAAAGAAAATCTCAAAATATAATGATCGTCTTCCTTTTGTATTAGATTCTTCTTCCGATTCTTCATTACGGAATTTATTTATTGTTTCTATGGAGTATTGTAAAAATCCTAGCAGCCATTGAACATTGTTGATGCAACTTGGGTTTCACTGAAGTTCTCGTGAGAACCGTGGGCTTCCAGCTCCGGCTCTTGCTCTTGACACTGGAGGTGTGACAAGCGGCTCAAACCTGTCAATGGCCACACTCAGTTTTTACCTTACGCTCCCCATGTAACTATCGCTCATTTCTAATTTCATTCTGCTCTAGACCCTGTAATAAATTTACTAGGGACCTTGTGACTCAAGGCTCAAGCATCTGAAATTTGAATTAAGATCTGAGTTGTTATCCTGTATCATGAAGACTTGAGTAACTTTTCCCTCACTGACCTTAATGCTTGGCATTCAGAGACTAGTGTTGACTTGGGAACATCTTGGTCTTGACCTTGAAGGATTTGAATTGCTGGTCTCCTGGAAACGTTCAGGCCACATGTGGTGCTGACAGCAATAAGCACTCTGAGAGACACTTAGAACAGAATGAGGATCTGGAATTGAGAGAAAATGACAGATGGCAGAGTGGCCTGCTCCTGCCAAGGTTATAGTAAATCTCAGAGTGCTTCCACATTGATGGGATAAAGTGCTGCACAAATGCAGGATATTATCAAATGTAAGCCATTACCTTGCTAAACCCAGTTCACTCCTTTAGTTTCCAAGGGAACTGGGAAATAAAGTACCATTCCACAGGTTCATACTTAGGCCTTAAATCTCATTTAGCAGTATCACTCAAAATCCATTGACTTGAGATTATTATTGAAGCTGCAAAGTGTGTATAGTAATCAACATGAATTCAGACTCTATTAATTGAGGTCATTTACATAGAGTTTGAGGGGAAATTTACTTTTATTTCATCTATACTAGAAAAAAAGAAGGATGGAGGTGTTAGCAATGTAAAGATTATAAGGGCTGTGCCTACCTACATTCATATATGTTTTACAGCAACTTAGAGGTATCTATTTGCATATAAATGTAATTAGTATGCTAGTCATAAAAAGTTCCTGTATATCTTTTAAAACAATCCCAGTTTGTTAGTTGACAATATTTTATTGTACAACTATAGCGTGA